TTGGTCTCCAACCTACTAGCAAAAGGAACCCAATAGCGATGGCCTCCGACCTAAGGCAACGGTTGGTCCAGAAAGCCCATCAACCGCTTCGTGTCTCACCAGGTGAGACAACGTCCTCTCATCAAGTTAAACGCGGTGCTCTTTTTCGGAGAGGCCCGTTCACAGCTTCAGATGCAAGCTGATCTTGATCAGTTGAAATTGCAGAAATCCATCTGAAGGAAGCTTGCCTGAAGATTCTGGGTCATAGGTGTGGCTAGACGTCTGCGATCTTTGCTGCCTCTGATCAGGGGGCACGATCAGCGCGTGGGTGCGGCGTGGATGGAGTGCCTTCGATCAATTGATCTAGCAACTGAGTTTTTGCTACTGTCAGGTCAACACGCTTCACTTCGTTCTTGTAAAATCCCTTTCAAGTTCTTTCCCCCCAAGCGTTCTGGCTTCATACTACACGGTCACACATCGAGGTGATTCTCCACCTGCGTGCTGAGGCTGGTGCTCTTTGGAGCTGCCCCGGAAAGCTCCGGCCAAGGCTCAGAGACTAGAAGCGAAAGAAGCAACCAACCTGCTGAGAAATCCAGAAAAGCTGTGAAGGGCAACATATGCTTTGGCCACCTTTGGCCCGGTAAAACTGGACACACACGCAAGCCGGCCATGACGAACAGGACAGGGGGGGGGGGCATTGCAGATGTTCACAGTCTTGTTCTTTATAATCTTTGACAAAGAAGGCTGCTTCTCGACCTACGAACGTGCAGGCACATCCCACAATTCATCATAGTCACAGGCGTGGTTTTGGGTCGTTCATTGCAGTGAAAGGTTGCACACCTAGTCATTTCAGCAGGCGGCATGACAAGAAGATACACACAAATATATTTATGTATATATATAAACACAATATAAACAAAAGCATAATACAATACCAAACATATATATATATATATGATATTATATTATTACATAGCTATAACATCAGAAACCTCCAAGTGGTTTCCTGGATATAACTTGAACAGAAGAGGCGAGCTCCATTGGACTTCGCAACTCCTTTCGACTAATCATAGGAACCCATTTAAACCAGCCTAAACAGTAGAACTTGGTCTTGTGCCTTGGCCGTACCCCCAATGCTTTGACCTTGGCCGAAGATGCACAAGTGAGGCCACAAACAACGCCATCGAGGCAACATGGGCATCAATGGATTTTATCAGCGGTTTGACCAGGACCCTTGCTAGGAGCGATCGGACGCTACTAGGGGCTCCTGGCATCGCTACTAGGAGCAAGGACGCTACTAGGAGCTCCTGGCCTTACTACTAGGAGCAAGGACGCCACTAGGGGCTCCTGGCACACAAAGGTAAGCCCCATTGAGCGGGCGTGAAGCAATCGGAGCAAGCGGATCTGGTAGAACGAGTTCTAGGCCAACGGTTTGCAGCGCGTCCGGACCCATCTGAAAAACCTTCTCGCGTAGTGCCTGAAGATCTAAGCAGTAGCAAAGGAGTCTTGGACCCAAGATCTACCAGGTCCTCTTGCCCTGAGGTAAATGGCCAGGGCAGGGGGAAACATGGTGATTTGTTTTGAAGAATTACATGTCCCCTGCACGTGCGGTGCAACCCAGGACTTTCACGGGCGACCTGTTTACCAGAAGATCATGGAGAGGTGCTGCTCAAATCTTGCAGATCCGCTTTGTTGAAGAAACCACTAGCGTTTGTTGCAAGTTTTGTAGGAGCAAACCTGTGCTTTTCCGCGTCAAATTTCTGGGTTCCATGGCAGAATATGGCGGATGGTTTTCGAAGCGCCAGGCGTCAAGTAAAACGTTCCCTGGTGACAGAGGCCGAAGACGGGAATTGATGGACGAATGTCAATGAAAGGATGCTTCGAACTGGGCAATTTCTAAGGTTAAGTTTCCCTAAAAAGCTAGGAACCAAATGAATAGTGCGTGAGCTATCCTGTGTCCATACTAGTAGCTGAAGTAAGGTACTAGCTACCTCTCCCGTACTTAATTAAGTAAGTGCCAGTGCTACTTAAGTAAGGAGGGGGAGGAGCTGGCCGGGCCAAAAAAGAAGGAATTGGTCTAAGACTGTGAAAGGACGCCAGCTGCTTTAGTATCAGTTGCTCAGCATGATCGGTGCCCCCACAAAAAACGTGCTTGTGAGGCACCTGCTATAGCTCATATTCGTCCCAAAGAAATGCACATGGCCTGCCAATTCCCTGAACGCGCAGACGCACACACTCGGGAAATGCATGCGGAACTGAAAGCCACTTGCCACACGCCCACCTAGGCATGAAAGCCTAAGAGACCAGGAGTAAGTTTGTAAAGCGGTCTGAGCAAGAAAGCCTACGTGAACCCCAAAGAGCTCAAAGTTCTCGAACGATGAAGCCGAAAGTCGACCAGCAAGTTCCGAGCGACGAATGCACATCTGCAGACCTGAACCATCCTGCAACAGCCAGAGGACCTCTATGATTGGAGAATGGTTAAAGCACTCACAACTCAGGTGCAGGTTTGCTGAGTTGATCAGACTCGAGGAAGCATGTAGAGTAAGGCTGTAGCTGACCCCATTAATTCACAAAGATCTGCGACCGCTGTGGTCTACTTGGGCCTTGCCCAAGTGGCTGGCTGCTCACGTCCGCTGTGGAAACGTTTGGGTGTGCCCTAGGGCTGCCTACTCAGTTGCAGTAGTCCGTCAAATTCAAATCTTGGCAAGCCTACTCCGTCCGCTGTGAACACGTACGTTCCCGAGCAGGGGGAACCGACCGTGCAAGGGGACACTTCTCTGGTACACCCTGGGCTGGGGTGAAGCCAGACACACTCGAGATATCGCGTACGGAGCTGAATGCCACATGCCACACGGCCACCTAGGTATGAACGCCTAAGCATTCCAGGAAAGGGTAAGTAGTGCGGTCTAGTCATCTTAGCAACACCAAAGCCCCAAAGTCCCAAAGCATCAAAGTCCCAACAGATCAGGACCACAGCTCAAAGGTAAAGTGCATGACTGCAGTTAAGGAACGGATGCGATGGCCGGTCATCTTGTTCTAGTTTCAACGGGACCCAGAAGGAAATGCTCAAGTACAACGCAGATACAGGAAGGTGATCTGTCGTCCCATCCCATCCATGACCGTAGCTTCCTTGCACGCGGTTGGTCATGGACGCCGTGTCCCCCTGCTGCCAAAAAGTATCAAAACACGCAGACAAACCAACGGGTTTCCTATGACTCCAAGGGTTTCACACACTTAGGATAGGGTGTGCTGAACTGAATGCGGTGCCACACGCCGGCCTAAGAAACCAAATCCTGAGAAACCAGGTAAGGGGGCCTGAGCGCCTGTAGTTAAAGGCCAAGGTCGAAAACCACGGAACGTTGGGTCGACAAGGTGACGACGGGCCGTGCAAATCCGAGGTGAGTCGCCGCTGCATTAGACGCTTACTGCGC